CACAAGAGCAAGTTTAACCTGTTAATGTTATGGTTAACATGGCCATGGATCTGAGGCACCTAGTGTACTTACTTCAAAACAAATTTTAGTGTCTGTTGGGATGATAGGTAATGTCTGCAGCTCTTTACTGTATTTCGAGTGAGAGTCTTCTGTATCTCAGTGTTCTGTTAACAGAGATGATCATGCTGCTGTCACAGCCAGGGCTGCTGCTATGGTTATCATCAGCTTTCAGTGTCTGGACCCCCTTCCAAAATTGTAAACTAAAACTCTCCCTACTTCATAGCCATTAAAATGGCTATTATGAAAAAGAAAATAAAGTAACGAATGTGGGCAAGGAGATGGAGAAATTAAACCCTTTGTGCTTTGCTGGTTGGAATGAAAAAGTGATGCGACCACTGTGGGAAAGAGTAAGGTTATTCCTCAAAAATGAAGCACAGAATGACCATGTGATTCACCAATTCCATTTCTGGCTATTTACCTAAAAGAAGTAAGAGCAGGCACTCAGACAGGTATTTGTACACCCATGTTTATAATAGCATTATTCACAATAGCCAGAAGGTCAAAGCAACACAAGTTGCTTCTGTGGATGAGTACATGAACAAGATGTGGTATATACATACAGTGGAATATCATGTGGTCTTAAAAAGAAAAGAAATTGACATATACTACAAAATAGATGAACCTTGAAAACATCATGCTAAGTGAAATAAGCCAGTCACAAAACTGTTTGACTGATATTGTTTGATTCCACTTACGTGAGTATCTAGAATAGTCAAATTTATAGAGACAGAGGTAGAATGGTGATTGACAAAGGCTAGTGGAAGGGGAGTGTGAGAGGTTAGTGTTTAATGGCTATAGAGTGTCAGTTGGAGAAGACAAAGTTCTGGATATGGATGGTGGCGATGATTGTGGGACAATGTGAGTGTACTTAATGCCAGAGAACTACACACTTAAAATAGGTTAAAATGGAAATTTTTTATGGTATGTATATTTTACCGCAATAAAAAACAAACAAAAAAATAGTCTGTGCCAGTACCCAGAAACAGTTTGACACTCTTCGTGGGGAGTTGATAGAATAATTGTAACGGGTGCTGAGCCTAGAGGTCTCCTCCAAAACAGAGAAAACCCCCAGAGCTATTGCTTGGGGGATGAGGGAACAGAACAGGGCCATTGAGAGTTACTTTGCATATCCAAAGAACTTGGCCAGTGTTTTAGTAATGCTAAATAGCTGTGCCAGCTCAGAGCCAAAGAGATGGACATGACTCTAACGTGTGATGTAGCCCTGGCTGGAGGGGCTTGCTGCACCTGCTCCAGAGCAGGAAGGTGGTCAGCTGCTACATCACAGGGCCATGCTTGCCCAGACTAAGAATGGCAGCCAAGAAAGGCAGAAGAGACCAGAGTGCTGGCAGGTGTAGCCCCGTGTGGGAGGAGTCAGAAATGGGGTTATGGAGGAATATCTATGCCAGGATTCAAACCCAAGTGTGGGGGCAGCTGTGCTCGCTCTCTCTCTCTCTCTCTCTCTCTCTCTCTCTCTGCCCTGCTAGAGCTCTGGACCCTATGGGAAGGAGAGTACGGGAGCCATGAGAGGCTCTCTGTCTCTCAGCCATGAGGTTTGGGAGCAGAGAAGCAGGTCTTGACCATGTGGTTTGAAAGAATGCTGAAGGACCCCCAGCAGCTCACCGTGAAGATATGGTTTTAGATTAAGAGAAGGAGCCTTACTAGCTGAGCCCAGACGACTGGAAGAAGCCAGAATACAGACAGAAATCTCCCCAGCTAAGCTACAGACTTTTATTTCTTTTGCTGCAAGACAGTACTCTCACTGGCCTGGTTTGGCAAAGGGGTAGTGCAGGCAGGACTGTGTGTTTATGGGTGTCTTTTTGTTTCTAAAGGGAGTGAGATGTAACAGCAGAATTCCGCCTTTATTCTAAACCTGTATAACTTTTGAATAAATAGTTCCTTTCCTTTTCATAAGACTCTAGCTTTGGGAGTTGTGGTTCTTACTGGCAGCAGGCAATAGAACCAGTGGTTCTGTTGCATAATCAATCTGAATACTTTGAGAGGAGTCAACTCTGTTATTCCTTTCTAAAACTGCTCTCACTACAGCATAGATGTCAAAAAGATAAAAAGAATATTATCTATGAATGCCTCACATTTGTGTAACACTTTATACTTGAAAAAAGGCTTTTATGTGTCCTGACATTTAATCCTTATAACAGTCTTATAAGGTAAGTTGTAATATTCCCTTTTAATTCATGGAAGAAAGCAAAGCCTGGGAGATTAAATTGTCTAAGACCATGGAGCTATTAAGGATGCAAAGGTTCAAATATCTACTGACTAAAGCCATTCACCTCCCAACATACAGAAATAGTTGTCAACTTACTATGAACTTTACATTTGAAATGCCAAAAGCAAATTGCATTGCTTGTTAAACTGAATAAAAAAAAGAAAAAGAAAAAGATAACATCATTACCTTCTCAGTGACCAAGGAATAATGATTATGCTGAATTTACGTGGTGAATCCTATTACCATATGTGTGGCTTTATTTTTAATGCTCAGTTTCCAAATCTTGGTCACATTTAAACTCTAGTTGACTGTATTTTTGAACTTTTGCTTCTAAAAATACCCTTTAATTTGGGAGGTAGGGGAGCTTTATCTTAAAACACACTGTTTTAGGTTGAGTCTATTCAGTTTTTAATCTAAATTCTCCAAAAAATATCTGATTAAAAAACAAACAAACAAGTAGCTAGGTTGTTCTCTCATTGTTATGCAAGAACTGTCTCATTTTGGGTCTTAAATTTCCTTTTTTATTGCTCTCCTTGGAGTGGATAGCTAATGTAAATGAGAGAAACCTGGCAATGCACCATTACTGCCCTTAGTAATTTTATGAGTTCCCCTAGAATAAATGGCTGGGTCAGTGCAAGCTCTCGATTCTCAGCACACAGATAGCATTCCCTTTTTTCTGAAGCCTGCCATAGATAAGTCAACTCAGAACCCCAACTCTCCTGCTGCAGAATGCTGACCCAGTAGCTTTCGCTGTCTCTGGGAAGATTTGGCACCTCGTGGAAGAGTGGTGGTATTGACACCCCTTGCTATGAACAAGCCTCCCTGAATTTATTAACTGATAGCATCAATAACTCCTTGTGAAAATACACAATAGATTGCACTGTGGTGGGATTCAGGGAAAGAATTTGAGATTTTGCACTCCTTGGTCCTTTCCTCTGTGTGGTGCCCTCTACAGTCTACACTGACAGGTTAAATCTTGAACATTCAAAGAGATAGTCCCTTGATTTATGCTTTCGAGTCATTCCAGGTGCTGTGAAGACAGTGGACGATCCCTTCCCCATTGCATTCACTGAACATGCTCTAAAGTCCCAACCCCCACCTCACACGTATTAGAAAGCACTCTATTTTATTTATTTATTTTAAAGAATTGCTTTCTTTTTAAAATGTATTTATCTTTAGAAGGGAAGGAAAGGAGAGAAGGAGAGAAATATCAATGTATGGTTGCTTCTGGTACATCCCTGCTGGGAACTGGCCTGCAACCCAGGCATGTGCCCTGACGGGGAATCGAACATCTTTTGGTTCACAGGCCCGTGCTCAATCCACTGAATTACACCAGCCAGGTTATTTTAAAATGCTTACAGCATTTTGGGGTGCTCTTCCCTTGTGACATTGTGTCAAATTCATAATCGAGGCTTCTCAGAGCAGAAAGCAATGGAAAAATGAAGTATTTTACAAAAAATAACTCATACCTATCATTTGGGCAACACCATGGGAACTTTTCTCTTATATATATCAGATTTACTGTTTCTATTCCCATAGCTTATATTTATGAAGCACCTACTCTGAGCTAGAAAATGCCGAACACTTCACATGCACTGTGATTTTATTTAATAAAACCTAACATTCTGATTTTATATAAAATCCAAAAAGCCTTGAAGTACAAAGAGGTTAGGTGGCATATGTTGTTCAATTTTTTCTGTGTAAAATTATACACACCTACCTCAAATAGATCATTGTCTTTAGAATCCCAAATTAAAGAATTTTCAGAACCAGGTTTGCCAACCCCTGTCAGTAACTTACAAGATTTAATGTTCTCTTCTCTCAGCAGGGGGGAGCACCAATTTCTTGCTACTATTTCATGCATTTCAGATCTATTATTGTTTTCCCTCAACTTTCTCCTCTCCACGACTCAAGCAAACAAGAATAGCAGGCAAACTCTTGTTAACATTCCTGCCAAGTCTGTCTTTTATAAATGCCTCAGTTGCTTTGCTTGCAACTTTGAATTTTATTTGATTTTCATATATTTTGCTAAAGAGTCAAAGATATGGAGCAGACATTCATTATTTGTAATTGTGAATTATAGCAAAAAAATTCAGTGGCAAACAAAACTGGAAAGGAACTCTATGTTAGAAGTGAGGCAGACTTATTTTTAATGCTACTTAAGAGACAAAGGAAACTATTAGGAAATCAAGCCTGTTTTTAGAGAGAAACTTGATATTTTTTTGAAAATGGTAAGGGTATTTTATTCTAACATTTAACAATTTCAACAAAATATTTTGTAACCCATTTAACAAAAAACGAATAAGTATTTTTTGAACATGTGCTTTGTTCTTTGAATTTAAGGAGAATATAGACTATATGTAAGAAATGGTTCCTGCCCAGAAGAGTTTATAATGTAGCAGATGAGAGAAGATGAACATGCAAATAAATTTGATTATACCCAAGGCAGTACGTATCAGGTACCCTTCCTTCCCATTCTTTAGCAAGACCTAGAAATTTATTCTCTAAAATATATCATGAATTTCTCCTCCTCTTCAGAGAAGCTTGATTTTTGAATTTCAGAAATAGCCTAGTTTTATGCTTCGAAGATTAGAATCTGTTTTCCCTCAATTTATTGTCTGTTTATGGTAATCAAGTCTTAAATCTGTATTGAGATGCTGGGAGACCCTACCATGTTACCCTCTTAAAATGTATCTTTATGTTCCTCCTATGCCAGCATCATCGGCAGTCGGGCCTTCCCTTGTGATTCACACCACTGTTGCATTTGGAGTTGCACACTTGGAACACAGCACGGAGGATGTGCAGGAGTTAATCTTCCAGCAGCTGGAGAACATTTTGCCAGGCCTGCCTCAGCCAGTTGCTGTCAAATGCCAGAAATGGAGACATTCACAGGTAATCATGAAATCCAGTAGTACAAGCACAGCTTTCTTAACAGGTCAGCAGAACTGACTTTACTTTTTTTCCCCCTTTGCCTAATGCATAAGTGTAAACTTCTGCAGGTTTTATCATCCTGTTATTTCCCAATACGAGATGCATACAATTTTCCCCAACCTAATGTTTAAATTTTAGCATCTCAAAACACACAGCCTGAAAATCCAGGGTTTCCTATGCAAGCAAGGCAAGTTATATGTCAAAACGCAGCTGTTTCCCTGGGGTTTTTCTAAATCAGTAGTACTGTGGTTATGTAGAAACCACTACAACCTCCCCAGTTTTTGCAATACGTCAAATTAACCTCATAAGTGTATTTTGCCGCCACAGTTTTCATTTTTATTAGTTCCCACTTCGGTTCTGACTACCGCCAGCGGAGGTCTTTGTGGGAGAAGGATGAATACCAGCACAGATCAGCTTGTTCGGCCGTTTTTCAGGGTTAGATAAACCTGCTGATCTCACTACAGTTCAAACTTAAAGCTCTTTAACACTAAGTAAATGTTGACTTTTCTGAAGGCCTCTGCATATTTCCGTAGAAGTTTGTGAGTATTCCTAGAAAAAGCCTTTTGATCTGTAAACTTGGTTGTGAAGTTATTTGGGGACAGGGGAGCAGAGGGCAGGAGGGGAAAGGACACAGAGGGTTGTCCATCTCTCCCTAAGAGTCGCCAGCCCCTGGGGCTATTGGCTCTCTAAGCTGGGAAGCCTTTAGGAAAAGTGGCGTGGTGAGAAAGAGCAGTAGATTTTGTGTGTTTTAAAGGGATTTCCAAAATCAGAGGAAATGGGAAATTGTAAATTACTTCCTAACACTGCTGCAGGGTTATGTATTTAGTCATATCCTCTCCAGGTAAATTATACAGTAAAACTTTGGGGAAAATATTTACTTAAACATGTCAGGGTCACTTTAGAAGACAACTTTTTCCTTTTAATTAAGCATAGAAAAATCGCAACAGCTAATGTCTTTAAGTGATATCAATTCAGTTTTAGGTTGACTTGAAAAAGTCAGGGAAATAATCTTCGCCTATGATATGAAGCTACATCTGTTACACAGCAAGTCACTTTGCAGTTGATAAATATTCCTCCAAAGAAAGAATGGTTTCTGAATTTTTTCTGTGGCTTCCTTAACATAATTTAATAAATCAAAAATATGACTTAAAAATCTACTCATTTCCTAAAATTCACTGTGTTGTAGGAATAGATGGGACCTTACTACCAAATGACCTATTCAAAGTTGTGCACAATCACAAAATTTAATTTTAAAAAATGTTTCAACAAAGCTTTCATTTAGAATGGAAGGGCAGATAAAGTGCTTCTCAGATAAGGTCAAGTTCAAGGAGTTCATCATCACCAAGCCCTTATTATATGAAATGTTAAAGGGCCTTACCTAAGAAAAAGAAGATAAAAAAGATGAACAGTGAAAGGACAGCAAACTCACAGTTATTAACAACCACACCTAAAACAAAAGCAAACTAAGAGGACAGTTAGATCAGGAGCAGAACTGTAGATCACATGGAGGGTTCGCAACAGGGGAGTGGGAGAAGGAGAAGCGGGGAGAAGGTACAGAAAATAAGGAGCATAGATGGTGGGGAGAAAATAGACAGGGGGGGCAAGAATAGTATGGGAAATATAGAATCTAAAGAACTTGAGACACGTGGTCATAAACTAAAGGGGGGGTGTGGGGGAGGGGTGTGCAGGGTGGAGGGGAATGAAGGGGGGAAATAGAACTACTGTAATGGCATAATTAATAAAATGTATCTACAAAAATGTTTGAACAGAGTGCATTCAAACCCTAGCAATGATTTTTGTGACAGTTTGGATGTTCTCTCCTGAAATTATTCCAGGACACTTGCAGCTCTGTAGTCATGAAACCTGTATTGGCTCCAAAGCCTGAGAGGGAAGAGTTGTTATTCAACCTTAGACGTTTGCATTTTCCACCACTCCTGTACCCTGAGCATCATTCTACAGAACACAGCATTGTCGCTGGTAGCAGAGATCTTACCTATGTTGTGGGATGATAGCTAGCAAGGGAGCTGGCTAGATAGGTATAGACAGTCCCTCACATCAGCTTAGAAAACGAAACAAACAGGTTCGGAGGCCCCATAACATTTAACTAGTTCTCAGTTATTACTCCCAAGAGACCATTTCTTCAGTGTTTTTAAAATGCCCACTTTAACCTTTGAATGTGACATGAATATAGCGACCCCTCCTCCCTTGCCATCCAGGACCCGAGATCTACCTTTGTAATTCATAATGTTTGTGTGTGAATAAGTTCTAACGTGGTGCTTAAACTGAAGAGGAGAATGGGATAGAAACAAGGACCCGAAAAAAGAAAGAGGAACGAACAACTGATTTTGACGTTTTTCTTACAGTTCTGATTAGTGGTGCAGTCCCCCTGCACGGGAGATTCCACACATCTTTTTTTCCAGGCTGGGTTCTACCCTATGTTTTCTTCCTTTTTCTCCACCCAGTCTTGTTCCACCCAAATCTTCTCCAACTTTTCACACTCTACCCCTTCCTATTTTCTCTTTGACCTTCATACCCTTATTTTATGAAATCCTGGGTAGACCACAGAACTACTGCCATCCATGCTCCAAGCAGCAGTGGTATAGATTCCCATTTCTAGACCCCTCAGACTTAACTTTTTATCCACACCCATTTTCTTTTTCTTCCTGTGATCCCCACACTGCATCCTGGCACCCAGTGACCGCAGGGTTGGAAGAAGAAGAGAAAGGGAGATAGCAGTGATGAGCGCCCACAGTGTGGGCCCCCTGGAGCTGGGCGATGCCAAGATGTGATCTCACTGCAAATCAAACGTAGCCTTAAAGATTGCGCGTTTTAACCAAGTGCAGCGACAAGGAAAACAAAGCCTCGTAGACATGAAATAAATTCTCCAAGGCCCATCAGCTAGTAATGAGAAAACCAGTCTATCTGCCTCTTGAGTCCTTTACTCCATTTCACTGACCCTCTGTTTCCTCTTCGCTGCCGCTGTTTCCTATCAACACAAGTTTGATGGCTTAAAACAACACACATCTATTATCTTACAGTTCTGGAGTTCGGGAGTTCGGGATGGGTCTCATCAAAATCAAGGTGTCAGTAGAGCTATGTTTCTTCCTGTGCGGATTCTAGGGGAGAATCCATGTTCTTGCCTGTATATTTTCCAGAAACTTCACATTCCTTGGCTTGAGACCCCTGCCGCCATCTTCAGAGCCAGCAACAGTGGGTCAAGTGCTTCTCATTCTCACTTTACTTCATTCCAACCTATTCTTCTGCCTCACTTGTTCTTTAAGGGCCCTAGGATTACATTGGGCTCACCTGGGTAATCCAGGGTCATCTCCCCATTATCCTTTATGGGGCAGTATCTTCCACTCCGGTCATAAAACCTCTGGGGAGAGCATCAGTCCTTCAAGGCTCAAGGCACTCAAAGGAAATGACTGCTGTTTGAAAAAGAAAGATAAGGGTGTGTCGTGGCAGGGGGTGGGAAAGTGGGGGTCAGTTTCTTGTACCCCGATGTTGTTCTTCCACGCCCGGTGCCGCCTCTAATGTTACATACCGCACTGGCATCAGGGGGTGGGGTGAAAGATATTTTATTTATTCATTTGGTTACTCGTGTATTCAACGAATTCCTACGACAAGGCTGGTACTCTGCTCATAGAACCCTAGAGGCTAATATTTGTTCAAGGCCACTCCTAAGACACTCAATTTTTTTTTTTGTCCTGAGTAAGATAACAATGCATTCTTGTGGGAGTTGCCCTTAAGGGAGGAAAGAGGCAGATGAAGAAAGAAGACGTGTTGAAAGACTTGGGAGGTGCCCTGCGCCTCCCATTTGGGATTCGAATAAATCCGTAGTACAAACAAATTTAGCAAAGCAATGACAGATTTTCTTCCCTTTAGCCCCCATTTGCTTTCCATAATTTAAATGTTTATCCAGGCCCTGGCTGGTGTGGCTCAGTGGATTGAGCATGGGCCTACAAACCAAAGAGTTGCTGGTTCAATTCCCAGTCAGGGCACATGCTTGGGTTGCAGGCCAGATCCTCAGTAGGAGGCACGCAAGAGGCAACCACACACTGATGTTTCTCTGCCTCTCTTTCTCCTTCCCTTCTCCTCTCTCTAAAAATAAATACATAAAATCTTTCAAAAAATAAAAAATAAACAATAAATGTTTATCCAGTTAATACAATTTGATGCCTAGGCCGTGATACATTGAATTGAATCAATGTGAGAGAGAAACATCTATTGGTTGCCTTTCATACACACCCCAATGGGATTCAGACCCACAACCTAGGCATATACCCTAACCAGGAATTGAACCACCAATCCTCTGGTGTACTGAATGATGCTCCAACCAACTGGGCCACACCCAGCTGGGCCCTGTGCTCCACTTTTGACTATCCTTTCTCTCCTTCTTAGATAAATGCCTTTGCCCTTTCAATGCAGATTCCCCACTTTGACTTCCTCAGGTCCTTCTCACCTGAATACCTCAGCTGACATAGAACTCCCTAGGAGTTAGAAAGAATAAAAGAGAAATAAGGAAATATGCACTGATGGAAGGCCAGAATTTTCCTTAGCAATTTGTGTTTGGTGGGAGAGGAGGCAGTGTGCAGAGAAAAGCCTGAAACCACCATATACTTATTGAAATCTATTATTCCCTCATGGGATTAATTTCTGGTGGGTAATTATGTCTAATTTCAGGATTAGAAGGTCAGGTGGTGATTGATAATTTCATTTTTTCTTTCTCTTTCTATGCATCTTCTATTGTATCTTCCTCATTTTCTTCTTGTAGGTAGATAGGAACTGGAAAGCAGTAACTGATTATAGGGATATACCAAAATTATAACTACGAAGGACTGTCACTTTCAAAGTAGCTACTTGCCTTGATAAGCTGAACTTCTATTTCACTAAGATGGAGCATCTCTTTCAGAGACTGACATGTATTCTTCAGCATATTATCAGTTGGATCAGATCATTGAAATTTGATCAGATCATTGAAATTTGATCTGATCAAATTTCATT